CGTGACAACATATCTGGCAATACATTCTGCGTTCCATCCACGTGCTCAATGGTGAAGTTGAATTCCTGCAAGCGGTAGGCCCATCGCGCAAGCCGTCCCCGCGGGTCTTTCGCCATCATCAACCACGAGAGCGGTTTGTGGTCAGTGACGACCCGGAATTCATTCACTAGTAAGTAATTTCTCCACTTCTCTAACGCCCACACGACGGCCAAGCATTCTTTCTCCTTTGTTGAATACTTCTGTTCCGCCCCCGTCAGCACTCTGCTCGCGTACTCCACCATCCCAGCCGGTTGGGACAAAACCGCACCGATTGCCACGTTGCTTGCGTCGACAGCCACAGTGAACCTCTCACCAGGATTGGGTAGCCGTAGACATGTCGGGGCTTCTGCTATGCATGCCTTTAAATGGTCAAAGGCTTGATCCGCTTCAGCTGGCCACACGAACGGCACGTCCTTGCGAAGCAGCTTTAACAACGGGCTGACCTTCTCTGCGAACTGGGGCACAAACTTTGAATCATATGCCACCACTCCCAAGAACGAACGGAGCTGACGCTTGGATTTTGGTTTTGCGAAACACTTGATCGTCTCGCGTTTCTCCAGAAGTGGATGGACTTGATCATTGCTCACGATGTGACCCAAGCATACAATTGACTTTTGGGCAATCTGCGACTTTTTACGACTGAGTTTCAGACCAGCTTCGTCCAGTCTCTGCAGTACTGCTCCAAGTCTGTTCACATGTTCCTGTTCCGTCTCAGAGAAGACGATGATGTCATCACCATAAACAACCACGCCTTGCAGGTTCGCCAGGACCATCAGTAACAAACGCCTGAATGTAGCTGGGGCGTTGCACAATCCAAACGGCATTCTCAAAAACTTATACTGCTAACCATTGACACTGAAAGCCGTCTTGTGGCGATCTTCTTCTGCGATCGGCAGTTGCCAATATCCCGAGCGGTTATCAATCAATCTGCTTGGCACTGTGAAGGCTTGAGAAAATTTCTTCCAGCTGAGGCATCAGGAATGCATCCTTCACAGTCACCCTGTTTAGTTCTCTGAAATCGATGCAAAATCGATAGGTTCCGTCGGCCTTCTTCGTCAATAGCACGGGTGATGAATACAGGCTGTGCGTTCGCCTGATGATTCCTTTCGATTCCATCTCGGTCACCTGCTTCTGTATTTCAACCAGGGTGTTCTGTGGAATTCGTCTGAAGATTGGCTTGCATTGTCCTCCTGGTGTAGGAAGGCGGAAGGCAGCGTTTGCCCAAAGGACGGTTAGACCAGTAAAACGGAGGCCGACGAATAGAGAGACCGATGCAATGGGGGCGATTCGCTGGAGAAACCCAGGCCCAATAGCACGAGACGGAAACGGGACAGGAGCAGCATCCGTGGGTGAGCCCGAGGCAGACAAAGCAGGTGGGGAATTTGTTGAAGACGCAATAAATCGGACAAAACCGCCGGTATCGCAACGTCAAGAAACAACCCCGGGGAGAGTGATACACCCACGGTCAAGCAAAGCGCACGCTATCGAACGACTCCGGCCTTGCCAGAATCGGAGGTGTGGAAACGAAGATACACGGGCGAAACGGATACAGAAGATGCGTTCCCGTACCCCAGAGGGAGCATAGAAGTGTCACGAGCGGAGGCCAAGAGGGCTGGTGCAACTTGGGAAGGAAATCTGACCCATTAATGTGTGCCCGCGTGAGTGGGTGGACAGTGTGTGTTCGCGCCAATAAAGATCGTGCTTCATTGCCGCGTTTGTTCTGTCGCTACACTGGGATCAACGGTATTCGGTGTTTAACCCAACTGCAAAATCCGTAATCATCTTCCGCGTCTGTGAATAAGTGGGCATACCTGCTCAGTACGTTGCGTATTGCACGGTTCTGACAATCAGGCACGGCTTTGAGGGCACCCACCCGGTCGGTTCTCCCCTTGTTTATCTCGATCGTATCGTTAGCCACGAACACCACATTGTTTCTCAGGTCAGTTGTGACACCGAGCCGTTTCAGGATGTCGGTTCCGATGATGGTTTCGGTCGTCTCCTCCACGATGAACATGTCATGGCTGATGAGCGTTTCCCCTATCCTGATTCGTAACCGCTGCGTGCCCGTCACTTTCAAAGAATGCCCGCCAACCGTCTGCATCGTGATTGAAGATGGCTTTACTGGAACCCCGCTGAACCTCTTCGTAATTGACACTGCCGCTCCTGTGTCTACTATGGATCGGACAGACACACCTTCTATAGTTACCTGGAGGGCTGGTACTCGCCACCGACTCGGCATGGATAGAGAGAAACAATGGGACACATTGACGTTGGTGCAGAATCTCGCCACATGACCATTCTGGTTGCATCGGAAACAACGGCGACCATTCCGGATTACCCGTACATTGCGTTGTGAAGTGGTGCTTGAAGACTCTATCGACGACAGCTGCTCCACCATTTCGGATAGGCGATTTACTTTCCGTTCCAATTCAGCATGCTGGATGCTTCTCACTGTCACTTGTTGCAAAAAAGTCTGGGCGACCGTCACCAGATCCAACGCTTTGCTGTCTCCCACCATCGACGCCAATTTCACCAGATCACGGAGTGGATTGGGCAGACTTCGGATAAACTGCTGTTTCAGTAGGCGCTCTCTTGCGTTGCCCTCTAATTCGGGGAGCCCGATCGTTAGATGTCTGTCCAGCTGCTGGGAAAACACCATCAAATCCTCCTGTTCGTCCCATCTGGCTGCGTGAAATCGTTACAGTGCTCGTTCTCTCTCCAGATCCTTCCCAAATTCCGCACAAAAGGCCGCCCTCATCTCAGCGAAGGAACAGCGGGGTTTGGCCTTCCGAGTGAGATACACCGTCTTGGCTCGTCCACTCAACCGTGTGCCCAAAGCAATTAGCAAATTTGCATCCCCCTCACACCCCCGTGCAAGCCGCAATTCCGTTGAACTCATCGAGCCACGCCTCCACGTCACCGGCCGCAAATTGCTCCAACCGGGTCAACTCCATCGCAAATGGTCACGGCACCAGTGTAGCGAGAACGACACGACAGGGGGGTAGACGTTTATTGCACACCGAAAATGAGCACATTAGGGTCTCACGTCCGCCATCGAATATCGACTAGATTTCCGTCTCACAACGCAACACCGGTACGGATGTTAGAGACGAGCCAGTCCTTTCGCCTCGGGAGCTCTGACTTGGAAGACCCGTCTTCCTGTTTTCGCCTCGACCTCCACTTCTCTGTACCCGATTTGGATCGGCCAGGAGTCGTTCGAGAGCTCTCGACTTGCTTGTTCTGGGCTGTGTCAATCGGCTCGGCCTCGGTCCTGTGGGCTGCGCTAGTGGCGTATATGTTTGATTTATTGCGTTGTCCACATATTCCCGCTCCGTAGTTCCGGGCCCAGGCTCGTCGCTAGCCGTCCTCGATCCGCTCTCAGCTAGCTCTGAAGAGTTCCCCCGAGGCATTCTTGGAAGCGGCACCTCTACAATACCACATAAGGATTTTCCTGAGCTAATAACGTCTGGTGAATATGAGACCAGTGAGCTTCAGTTACATCCAGTGAGCGTTTATCCAACTCGCATGACAGCGTACTTCGATACGCATTCAGAACAGCTGGCTTCGCCATTTTGCCGGTGTCAATGCACTCACAACATCGTCGCGGGCGTCCGTCAAATCGCATCCGCAGGTCGGCACACACAAGTGCATGGTCGGTGTCCACACCTGTGCTCCAAATCGAGCGACAGTTCTGGACGCAGCCTCTCCATCGGTAACTTATCGCAATGTGATCGATTTGTGTCCAAGGCTGGTTCGAGGCTGGTGGGCGCCAAGTCACCCTCCGGCGGGTGCTGTGTCTGAAATTAGTGCTCGCAAGAAATAAGCGAGTATCATCACACAAATGAAGTAACCGATCACCCTTATCATTACGGGAGCCTATACCATGTTGGCCGCCCAGATGCAGCTCATCTGTGGATAATTTTCCAACTTGAGCGTTCAGATCCCCGGCCAGCACTACAGCGTCCGAGCTTCTTCTGTGGCT